AGTGTGAGAATTGCCTAACTAAAATTTTTAGAATTCCATGTGATAGATGAATTGAGGCCATGAGAACCATAGTGACCGAACTCATTTTTTTTATTGAGTTTATGATTTTTTCCAGTTCAAATTGATCATTTTGATAGAACCAGAGTGATAAAACGAATATTCACTAGATGCCAGCATAATTACTGTTACGGTTCTTAGTCTGTGATCTAAATTTTAGGTGCCATACTAGCCTTAGTAATATAGGCCACTATGGTTAAAAAATGAGTTAGGCCGCTATGGTTCTCATGGCCTCAATTGTCTTAAGAAATACCTTCTTGGAACAAAAATATAGATAAAATAGCCTTTTATTATGTTCGACTCAGATGAAGAAACCTAAACTAGGTAATAAAAATCTATTTAAATTTCTGAACAATTCATAGATCCTATCGATTTCAACAGTACCTTACGCCTTCAAATTAGATTTTAAAAACATTTAGAATGAGTGTCAATTTGTCAAACCCTGCTAATATTATACATGTGATAGTTTCTTTGTTACTCAATCACGCTAAAACTACTGAACTGATTTGGATAAAATTAAGTACGCCTAAAATTTATTACCTGGACAGCGACACAGGATACTTTTTATCCCGAAAAAAAAATTAAGTTTCTGTGGGATTAAAAAAAAACTAAAGATAAGGGGACGAAGTCGCGAGAAGCCGCTAAGTGTTAAGAGCGGACGCGAGCAGAGAGACATTTGAGAAAAAGGTATTTGAAAAACAGTTGCTGTCGCGCATTAGCAAATACCATGCGATAGGGACAACAGTAGCTAACGCTGAAAATTGCGTACAAAAATTACAAAATTCGAGGTTTGGCTGTCGACGATTTCCTCTTCGAAAATTAAATATATGCAAAAGAAATTTTACCCATTCAATAATAAGTATATATTACTAGGCTTCTACGTTTTGTTTTTTTTTTGTAAATGCTTATCGAGTCTCCAAAAGTTAATGAAAAAAGGAAGACTTAGGAGCATAGAATGAGTAAAATTATATTTTATGTAAGAAAATAATTTTTTTATTGATAAAAATCAAGAAGGAATCGATTGAGAACGTTTGTATGGAACAACCATAGCCCGCCTCTACTCTTAACATTATCTTTTTTACGTCGCAGACAACCATATATGTTCGTGTAACGTATTTGTTCGTGTTGGTTAGCGCGTTCGGCTGCGGAAGTTAAGGAACTTTCGCAGTGGTCGGTCATTGGATGGGTGACCAAAAAATTTACTATCTCGAGTTCCTCCGTCCTTCGGAAGGCACGTAAAGCCGTTGGTCCCGGCTGCCTCTGCAGTCGTTAGTACCCGCCAATCCGCACTGGGCCCGCGTGGTGGGTCATGGCCCAATCTCACTATTCCATCCATAGGAAAGGCCTGTGCCGCAGCAGTGGGGACATTAATAGGCTGATAATGATGATGATGATCTAGGGTATTTCCCTAGATACACCAACACGAACAAATGCATGCCCAAAACCCATCCAAAAGGCACATAGAACGATCCACGGAGCTCCGTAAGATAATCGCGTTGTTCGAGACATTGTAAGTATTTTTTCGCTTTTTTTTCACGGAGCTCTGCGGCAACTTGAATTTTCAACGGTCCGCGCGTGACTGTGAACCAAGAAGTGCTTGAGTGGTGTTCAAGCACTTCTTGATTGGGCCATATTTTGAGCGCACGTGGTGTATATAGGGTACTAGCGGCCCGCCCTCGCTTCGCATCGGTGTAGAGCTGAAGTGTAGACTACAGTTTTTGTTCTCAGGCTTGTATTATACACAATGACATTCATCTATGATTCTTCTTATACCTGCATGCAAAGTCTCAGCCCGATCGGTTTAAAATTGACAAAGTTTCATACAAACTTTCATTCCCTATTTTATCCCCTTGGGGGTAGAATTGATCAAAATCCTTTCTTAGCGGATGCCTACGTCATAACATCTACCTGCATGCCAAATTTCAGCCCGATCCGTCCAGTGGTTTGGGCTGTGCGTTGATAGATCACTATGTCAGTCAGTCACCTTTGAGTTTTATATATATAGATTTAATATCGTTGGTCGCCGATCGCATCTCTGTGGCGTACTCGTGTGCGACAACGACACCGGCAGAGGTGCGGCGTGGAGGCGTGAAGTGCACTCGGCGCGGACCACCCAGCGCGCGGCGCAAATAAACTCCAACCAATCCACTAATGGCGGCCGATTCTTACACGTGAGGCGCGCAAAAAATACAACCTTCACATTCATCCCGCCTAAGCTAATTCATACAGAGGTAACCACAGAACACAGATTTTCTGTGTTCTGTGGAGGTAACCGTATCAAATCGCCAATGTTTCTATGAAAAAGTCCTTGAGCCTAATTTTTGAATCACTCGTCTGACATAGTATCGTCGAATGCGACATAAGTCACCTTCGACTTTCAAGTCGCATAATACTGATTTTCCGTATTTTTGAATCATTCGTCACCAGTGTTACCTGTTTGATGAGAAATATAAAATTTTACTCAGTTCACGCAGAAAAAATAAAAACCGGTAATTACCGCAATGAAAACCGAACAAAAATTCTCGTTGTCGTTTCATATAAAGCATGACAATAATAGATTATCGTCGTCTAATAGCACAAAAAAATTATTCTATCATTCGCCTCCACCATTCGCCATGCAGCGAGTGGTCTCACCCATTCGTTGCACTCGAGTGATTCAAAAATACGGCATTAATTATGTCGAATGAAATTTAGTAGAAATCGAGCGTTCGACACATGACGAGTGATTCAAAAATAGAGCTCGTGGGCTCTCACAATCCCCTTGTCTCTCCAGAAGTCACTGTCACTCTCCAACATACATACAGACAAGCACACGCACTTAATCTAGGGATGCTAGATCACCAGGAAATCCGGGATTGTCCCGGAATTTTGCGTGCTGCCCCGTGTCCAGCTATTAGACCTTATTGTCCTGGATTCCGATAATGTGCTAGTTTCGTAACAAAATAAACTAATAACGAATAACACCGCCGGTCTACTTGATATTTAATTTTGGGGGGTGATGGGGGGTTTCATCTGATGCTTTATTTGGGAGGTGCAAATGTCTTGGAATTGATAAGCCAACATCTAGCAAGCCTTACTAAATTCCACACTTTATTACTTTATAACGTAGTTCCATAGATAATTTTCTGCATTCTATAGTTTTACTATTTCATTAGTCGCAATCTAGTTTAGTATTAGACGACCTCCGTGGCCGAGTGGTTAGTACGCCGGGTTTCATGGTGTCGCCGACTCGAGAAGTCCTGGGTTCAAATCCCGGTGAGGGTAGATGTTAGTGTGATGAATACGAGCATTTGTACTCCAGTCATGGCTGTTTAGTATGTATTTGTATAAAAATAAATTTATATATGTCCAGTATATGTATTCTATCCGTTACCCTAGTATCCCATAACACAAGCCTTATAGTGCTTACATTGGGGCTAGGCTAATTGGTGTGAGTGTTGAAAATATTTATTATTTATTTATTACATTCATTGGGTGCCCACGATACTGGACCCCCTAGTGTGGGAGGCATGGTTATAAGCTGACTGTATGACATAAATTTTAATAAATATATTTGTTATATAATAACTAGGTATAACTAACTGCTATTTCCTTTTTCATTTGACATTGTGGATTTTCTACAATGCGAAGACGATAGCGCTACCTTGCAGCTTAAGGAAGGCTAGAAAGAATTCGACATGGCCAACAGGGCCGCGGTGGCATAATGGACAGTGCATTCGCCCGGATAGCGAATGGTGTGGGTTTGAGTTCCGTCCGCAGCCTGGTACGCGTGGAATTTTTTCTAGTTATATTTTCTTTAAATATATTTGTATTTGTTAAACTTAGCTTTGTATTTGTTAAACTTAGCAGCCCCCCCCCCCCCCCCCCTCTACCGGACGTAAGAACAAACTGGCACCTTCCATACAAAATTTGACGATGACGGGACAGGCGCGGGCCGAAGGGGGGACAACAACGTACAACGTGTTGTACAGAAGAGTGACAGCATGCTCTTCACGTCGTAGCTGGATGGGAAGCTACTTCAATTTACTCCTGTATTAAATGAACAAACTTGCGCAATCCAATATCCATAGATTAATCTAATGCAAAAAACGATTGAATTTGTTCAACAAAAAACTCGTGTATATTTTTCCCCCCATCCCGTAATAAAATTCAAAATTGTAGGCTTAAAACAACGAATATACTGAAAAGTAAAGAAATTTAAAAATAACACTAAACAGCGCCATCTTCACATAACTTTATGAACTTTTATGTCAATAAAAGCACGAACATGGTACTTCGTACTGCTGCTTTTACGCTTGCTTGTAACTAATACACGATTCAAGCTACTTTCAATAGATGGCGCTTACCAACAAATTATACAAGATATCATTACACAGTCGACCTGACGCTTTGTTGAAATCGGAACTAATTTTAGGAAGGTTATAAATAACCATTTTTCTTTAAATGGAAAGGTAAATCCCATTAGTCGTTCCGAGTTATTGCAAATTATAAAGTGCCCTACAAGTGAGGAGATTCGACGTACTTAATAAAAACAGATTTCATTTCACCAGCATCGCCCTCCTGTTCGTGTCATATAAGTGCCACAAGATCTTGCGGGTGGTAAGCGCGTTCAGCTGCGATCGTTGGTGTGAAGCAACTTTCGCAATGGTCGGTCATTGGATGGATGACCGAAAATCTCTTCTATCTCGAGTTCCTTCGTGCTTCGGAAGGCACGTTGAGCCGTTGGTCCGGGCTGCATCTGCAGTCGTTAGCACCCGCCAATCCGCACTGGGCCCGCGTGGTAAGTAACCATGGGAAAGGCCTGTGCCCCAGCACTGGGGACATTAATAGGCTAGTGATGATGAAGATCTTGGTCCCCACTGGATGTATTGTATACTTTTTATTTGAAATAAAAATTATCCTTAAAGAAAACCTAACGAATAAGAAAAATAGAAGTCACTCACTTTGATTTCTTCAAGTGCCTTTTCACTGGTCCTCGCTTCTGAAGCTGCCAATGTGCTCTGAAAAGATAAATTTGCTTACAATTATCTAGGCTATCATGTTTTGTGGTCTGATGGTATATTACGATAAAAGAGAACGGTATATTATTTTCATGCAAAAAAGTTAAAGTAACATAAGAATAGGCAGTCACGGACGCGGAACTATTATCTCATTACAAAACTTTCGGGGAGCTCAGGCGCAGGTGGTTAGCGCGTTCCGCTGCGATCGTTGAAGTTAAGCAACTTTAGCAGTGGTCCGTCATAGGATGGGTGACCAAAAATCTTCAGCCTCGTGTTCCTCCGTGCTTCGGAAGGCACGTTAAGCCGTTGGTCCCGGCTGCATCTGCTTTCGTTAGCACCCGCCAATCCACACTGGGCCCGCGTGGTAGGTCATGGCCCAATCTCCGTATTCTATCCATAGGAAGGTTTGTGCCCCAGCGGTGGGGACATTAATAAGATGGTGAGAAAAATTTCGTTGGCAGATCTAATAATAATCATAGATGTTGGACAGGGTTTTTTAAATTATTTACAATGTAACGACTCATTATGGCCTATATATGTAGGACCTGGAAAAGTACTTATTACTTTATTCTTGCAAACAAAATTGTATTTTGGTAGTTTATTTAATAGGTCATAAATCGCAAACCGCAATTGACCTTTCATTCAATCAACTCAAATTAAAAAATATATAACACACCAATAAGTTAATTTTAAAAAATACACTATTATTAAAACATCGATCAAAAATTCTGTCTCGAGTTCCTTCGTGCTTCGGAAGGCACGTTAAGCCGTTGGTCCCGGTTGCATCTGCAATCGTTAGCACCCGCCAATCCGCACTGGGCCCGCGTGGCCCAATCTCCCTATTCCATCCATAGGGAAGGCCTGTGCCCCAGCAGTGGGGACATTAAGAGGCTGATGATGATGATGATCAAAGTTACAACGAACGACAAGAAGTTTTATAATATGTTACTTGCTTCTACGGAACCCTTCATGGGCGAGTCCGTCTCGCACTTAGCCGCTTTTTTTTAGGTACGGACGGAACACGGAAAATGAAATAAGAAAAAAAATATATCAATTGAAACAAACGATTTCGGTTATGTAAAGCTCGTTAGCTGTCGAGACGAATCAATCGTTTCCGCGGTATAATTTCATAGCAGTACCTAGGTATTGCAATAACGAAACGGTACATCGTCCTCATTGTTGTAGACAAGTAGCATAACAGACGGTTAATGTTTTACTAATGATGAGTTCGCGTCTGCCAAGTGCGTTGGAGCCGAGCCAATACACAGTGAAATGTCAAATGTCCAGTCTGGAGTCACTGGACTCGGGTAACTAGAGAATGAGGGCTATCGCGTATGAATCCGCCGCTAGAGGCGCTAGTGTAGCGTGAGGTCTCCGAAATGTCAAATGGTTTGCTTGTTGGTTGACTACGCGGGTTTATTTCTTATTAAAATAATGTTGTGAATAATTGGTAACAATTCGGCTTAATTATGGCAAATATGAGTTATGTGGCAATGAATGTCAGTTATTAAAAATTTGAGCTTAGAAAAATGATTATGTTCCCATTTTTTCCGAATAAAACGGAACTGCGCGTCACTGTGGCATGGCCTATTATGTTTAGGATATGGTTCTTTTGTGTTAAAATACGATCTAAATGTAACCTTTGATTTCATGTGCGTATTAATAAACTTTAAAAGTTACAATTTAGGACCTCACTCAACAGTGGCGCCATCTGGTGAGGCAGAAAACGGTAGCCCTCATTGTGTCCCATTTAAAATCCTGCTTTTAAATATAAAAAAAATGTGTGTGTGTCAGCTCCGACGCACGACTGGAGTTTACTCCTTAAGTTCGATAGTCTAACCAGACGCAAAAAGAGTTTATTTAACTTAAAAAAGATTGATACTGTATGAAAGGGTAAATTAACAAATTAATGAAAATAATATACATATATAAATATATATTTATTCATTTCATATACATTTATTGTAACTAATCGACGAAATATTTTACATTAAACTTTTTACAATAGTCAATTTCAGATGTGCATAAATATATCATTAGGAATGTTGATAAATTATGTAATTATTATTATCAGCCTATATATATATATTTTTTAAATATTAATTAAATTTTACATTGTCTGCATTATTAATTACAGTGACAAGTGGTTTATGGTTAATAATGTCAATCCGTCATCCTTGTTTGTCAAAGTTGCGCGACATAGGATGCGCACCAAAAACGTAACAAGGTCATTCATCGATAGATTTTACTCTTCACATTTTTCTCATACCGGGCCCCTTATATATGCAAATCGATTCTTAAGGAGTAAACTCCAATAAACTCCAATAAATATAAATATTTCCAACACTCACACCAATTAGCCTAGCCCCAAGCTAAGCACTGTAAGGCTTGTGTTATGGGATACTAGGGTAACGGATAGAATACATATACTGTACATATATTAGTATATTTATATAAAAATACATATTAATTAAACATCCATGACTGGAGTACAAATGCTCGTATTCATCACACAAACATCTGCCCCCACCGGGATTCCAACCCGGGACCTCTCGAGTCGGCGGCACCATGAAACCCGGCGTACAAACCACTCGGCCAAGGAGGTCGTCATATATACCTTAAATATATATAAATATTATTTTTGTGTTCAAGCTGTGCGCCTCTGGAACTCTCTCCCCGTTAACATCAGACGTGCCCAGACGATTGGTTTATTTAAGAAGCAGATAAAATATTTTTTCCTTTCACAGTAGTTGTTTGTATTGTTCCAACTGTATGTATGTATGTATATGTATCTCTCTACTCATCATCATCAGCCTATTAATGTCCCCACTGCTGGGGCACGGGCCTTCTCTATGGATGGAATAGGGAGATTGGGCCATGACCCACCACGCGGTCCCAGTGCGGATTGGTGGGTGCTGACGACTGCAGATGTAACCGGGACCAACGGCTTAACGTGCCTTCCGAAGCACGAAGGAGCTCGATATAGTAAATTTTTTTTGGTCACTCATCCAATGACCGACCACTGCGAAAGTTGCTTAACTTCAACGATCGCAGCCGAACGCGCTAACCAGTTGCGCCATCGAGCTCTCTCTACTCATTCATTTAATATTTGTATACTTGCATAGTAGATATTTATGAGTATGTTTAATCTTTTATTGTAATTATTTTTATTTGTTATATTAGCACACCCCCTCTTTTATTAAATTTCATCTCTCCATCCTATGGTTGTCTGGCAGAAATTGCTATATAGCGATAAGACCGCCAATAGGGATGATGACTAATTTTTTTTCTTCGTTTATCAGGTGGATTATCAAAAAGTATTGGACACGTATTTTTTTCTTTTTTCACACAATATAAACATTGCAGAGATATATTGATTTGAAAAGTCGCATGACGTCACGTTTGAGTACACTTTTAATTGAAAATTCACTCAAAAGTGACGTCAAGAGCCCCTACTCCCAAACTTTGACGCGCTATAACTTTGGCATTTTTTGGTTGATTGCCCAAAGAAAAAATACGTGTCCATTATTTTTTGATCATCTAACTGACGGACTAAATAGAATTTCGTTTACTGTACCCCGTCATCACCCCTATTGTTCACAATTTTAAGTTTTGCTCTAGTCTAAGTGTGTAATATTTAATGTGGTACACAATAAAGTGTTATCTATCTATCTATCTTTATACAGGGCGTCCCACGGGTTTGTCACACGAAGGGAAAGTATGTTAAATCTTGAAGATAGGATATTTTACTGAAAGAAGACATCGTTTTAATTTTAATAATAAGTGGAAGTGCATTCACATTGTTTTATAAATCGCCTGTCAAAGGCGGGAATCAAACTCGTGAAATGTGAAACAAAAAAAACAAATGTAGTTTATGATAACCGTCGAAAGGGGATTAATCATGAAATCTAAAGAAAACTTTTACAAGAAAAAAATCAAAAATATCTAGCAAGTAAATGCTTAAAAAAAATTAAAACAGCTATAATTGCTATTTCATCTTTCAAATGTTTAATACTTGAAAAAGTATTCATTTGACTATGTGGGTTACCTACAATGCGAAGAGATGGTGCTGCCTTGCAGCTTAAGGCTAGGAAAATTTCAATGCGGCCATCAGGGCCGTGGTAGCATAATTGGTCAGTGCATTCGCCCGGATTGCGAAGGGTGCGGGTTCATAAACCCGTCCGCTGCCTGGTCGGCGTGGATTTTTTTCTAGTAAAACTTTCTTTATGGTTTTAATGTTTCGACGAGGCAGGTATTCCCTCATAATCCTAATAAACTCTATTAGAAACAACAATTTATCGAAAATGGAAGTTTTAACCCAAACAGCTAAGCAATAATCATTATGCATAATTATGAAAGTGAACGAGCTATTAGGAAGTCCGATGCCGGTGTGTAACGATTCGATTATTTTGAGGCCTTGCATTCTGCAGTTACAGAAATTGGCATTTTAACTCTTTAGGGAGGTAATCTTTTAACGTTGCAATCCATTATTTATAGACTTTCTTGGTATTATTGGAAAAGAGCTCATGAGAATTTCACTTTAATCTAGTATTTTATGATACATAAAGATAATGAATAATTGAAACTACCAGTATGTTAAAGAGAAAAACGGTTGGAATAAAATTTTCCGACCGATTTAATTATGAACCTACTGGTACCTACAGCGCATGCAAGCTGAAGTATATCACTATTTATAACTAATTATAACTATATTTTTTCGTAATAACTCATTAATCTTTAAATTTCCATCTAAATTGTCGTATGTTGTTAATAATGTTATAGTAGACTAGCAAACCAGTGAACCAAATGTTCACCAAAACCTGATTTAAAAAAATAAAAAAAAATGTATTTAATTAATTGAGAACTTCGGAGATTTTGTGTGCTTTCGTTTGAAATTCGTGATTTCTCAAAAACCGGAAGTGCTACGTTACTCAAATCTGGTTTGTAGTCTTATCAGACTATTCTTAACTTATAACTTAAATATTCTCTTTATCTATCTCTTACGGTTTGGCCGCTGAAACAGCACCACAGACGGACGGACGGACTTGTCTAATAGATAAGAGATAATCACTTCCGCGGCTTCTATAGATTACACATTTCGATTAAAACAAAAAGGGAAGATACGGCACTAGCGGCTCAAAAGTGATCCGCTTAAATTGTGGTGCATGACCACAATACGCTTTAGTCACAATTGGACATTCAAACACGCTTCATGTGCACTCAATACAACAATATTGCGTATATTTTGTGTTAAGTATAAAACAATGCCTTCGATGCTTTTATTAAGAACACAAATAATTGAAAACGTAAATGTTGTTTACGTAATCGCCATTTTGTTATCAAGAAAGGGATAACAATACAGCTCAGCCGTACGGACTCTGTCGCGGACTCGTCGTTTCGCTTGCGCTGCGTTGAAGCGTACAGTACCCCTACCACGAACCAATATCGAATTCGTATGGTTTGCGAGTCCGAAATGTGATTGTCAAATGTGTACTGATTTTTAGTTCTCGTTACGTACTTTGTGCTGCTGTTCTAGTTTCCATGCAAAATTTGACATTGACATTTTGCAAACTATTCGAATTCGATAATGGTTCGTGCTAGGGGTACAGTTCTGTCTCGCTCGCTCGATTGAATGTTTATTTACAGAAGTATGCGTGCGTGAGAGTCGTTAATGTATTTGAGTCGGAGCATATTTGATTTGATGCTTGTATGAGCGTACCATATCTTCCCTTTTTTTTTAATCTAAGATTACAAAAAATAATTAAAAGTAGCTGTAGATACACAATATTGGTGTTGTTCTTGTAATACTATATAGTGACAAGCAAATAAAAACTAAATTCGCCAGTGCCTTGGCAAATGCATCAAGTCTGATATCATTTATTCTTATTTTTCAACACGAGGTTTGCCAAACAATTACACAGTGAATAGATAAGATTGTTAAACACACTTTAAAGGAAATTTGTTTCGTATTTACCTATTTAGTACTTTAAAATATGGCACATTTACCATTTTAAATGGGTCCAAAGGCCGTACTCATAGAAGCTAGTCGAATTTTAAGTTAAATTTAAGCTTTGCCATACTAATTAAACTAAAAGTCGCATCACCTCTGTTCTTGTAAAATTCTCCAATTTTAATTACATTGGTTCAGTGTGTTTTCCTTTGATTTTCGATCAATTATCTACAGTGTAATCTAATTAATGATTGCAGATTTCACCAGTTTAAAAGGTTGCTAAGTCCAGACGTCATGATTTCGACCACAGATCCAAATCAACAGTTTTGTAAACAGGAAAGTCTAACGGAATCTTTTGTGAGTTGAAAAACGATGCAAAGGTTGAAAATGACCCAGACGCCGCTAAGTTGATGTGCAATTTTGATGGTACGATGAAACTTTAAAACAACAATGTCACGGGCTTAAGCCCGCTGATGATCATTTTGATTGATGATTGTGCATGCATTTTAACAATAAATTCTTGGCAAGCGCTCGTAAGACTTCCATTATTTTTTTTCAAGAGCGCGAACCGCGACGCGCAGACAGTGTAGTGTTTAACAGTCTATATGTATGTTGGTATGTATGTTCCTTTGTGGCACACTAGAGACCAAACGCGTGGACCGATTTTGATGATTCATACGTCAATCAATTTCTCTTAATCATGGGAGTGCTACTAAAGATATGATAGCAATCAAAATTTAATATGTGACAATAATGGGGACTCACCATATTGTGAGAGAAAAAAAATATATGAGTACTATTTTAAGCATTTAACTGCTAGATGTTTCAATCTATAGATTTTTATCTAGAAAAACTCCACGCGTTTCAGGCAGCGCCCTCCGCTATCCGGGAGGATGCACTGACCAATTATGATAAAGCGACTTAATGACAGTGTCGAATTTCTTTTTTTTTAATTTATAACAACCATGAATTGTCAATGTAACTACCACTTTATAATTGTTTATATAATGAGATGCCTAATATACCAATGAGTGGAATGAGATAATAGAAAATCAAATTACCCGATTGTATAGGTCCTAGTTGGGAAAGTTGAGAGAATGGACACCCATTCAATGACAGACCACTGCGAAAGTTGCTTAACAACAACGATCGCAGCCGGCCACCTGCGCCATCGAGCTCCTCGAGGGAGGGTACACGCACAAAATTACTGATGAATAATTCGACATAATATCATTATTGTCACCCATCCGATGACCGGTAATTGTGAAGGTTGCTGTACATTTATAATGACAAATCTAAGACGCCATCACATAATAACCGTGGTACTGACGTGTTTCCACCTTCCTACAATCCGAGGTCCTTTAAGAGGCGTGAAGAAGCATTTCCGCAGGCCAGCAAGGTGAGGACGGTTCGCGTGGCAGTTTATAACTATGCAGTTATCACCAGCTATTTTCGCGTTTTGACTGTATCACAACATCAGCTGGGAAAGAGTCATTTGCCTACCTAGCTCTATAACAAAATAGTGTGCACGAACCTCACATCTGAAGTGAAACTTCTTTTCTTAAATAATCTAACATTAGGCGGTCATATATATATATATATATATACTTAAAATATTTGCATGAAGTTTTAACTTTTTATAAAAACAGTTATTTTTAATGATCCTCGAACTAGTGACGTGTCTTAAAAAGATCGATATTTTTATTAATCATTAAAAATAACTGTTTTCATAAAAATTTAAAACTTCATGCAAATATTTAAAAAAAATTAGAGAAGACTCCTTATATGATGTACTTCAACGCCCTTCAAGCTGTATATTGACGCGTATGACGCTCAAAAACTAAAACACCCTGTATATTGTCGCGTATGACGCTCGTAGTGTTTCAGCCTTCGCCGAGTTACCCTTCAACTTTCGAGCTTGTCGGGAAGAGCTGCACACGCATCTCACACACACACACACACATATATATACTTTTATTTTGGAACCAACCTGAAATCGCTAGAAAAAAAATATCATTTCATTTTCATACATTTCGGTCGATTAGCTGATGTACTTTTGTATGAAACAGCAGATTTATTTTTCGCGATTTCAGCGTTGGTCACATAATAAAAGTTGTTTCTGTTGATGGGTAGAATCACCGGATAAGAGGTTGTTGGTTTTTTAAAATTAATATATATATATATATATATAGTCGTGTGTCGCTCGTGAGGCATTTTCGTTTCATCTTTTCCATAAAATTTTTCAATTTACACCCCGTCCGCAAAAGGTTTCAGTTCAAAAACTCAAATCTTACCTCAGTTCTCTCACCGAGCATGGTTCGAACTCTGGCGTACATCGCCTCTTCCCTCAAGCGCGCCGCTTCCCGAATCTCGCGCACCAGGTCCGTCAGGAATCCCGGGGAATACTGCCCGCCTAGGTGACCTGGAATCAAATCACCATTATCCTCACAATTCGGAAACGGTTCAATAAAATACTTTATTAAGTAAATTAAATAATAAATTCATACATAGACAATAAAACTTAAAAATCGATCAATGAAATAACCAAACGCTCAATAAAAGTCTTTCGAAGGTAGCTCGACAAATTGAATAAAAGTTTTATTCTGACGACGAAGCCTGTAAAGGCTACGAAACGTCAATAAATAAATAAAATTTCGTGCATTAACCCGTAAAAACTAGTTTTATTTAATGAGTGATGTGCGTGAAAACCTAAGAAACAAACTGTTCAATAAAAAGACCTGGAAAATAGGAGGTAGGGCACAGTGGATGTGAGGCTCGAAGTGCTTTTCTGGGAAAGGTACTCCAAAATAGGTTTTGTCGGATCTTCAAAATACACTTGATCATAGAGAGAATGGGAGCTTGGGTTTTCGTGACGTAGCTATTTTTTTTTTTTGTAAAAAATCTAAAGTAGGTCACGTGAGGAGCTCGATAGCGCAAGTGGTTAGCGCGTTCGGCTGCGATCGCTGAAGTTAAGCAACTTTCGCAGTGGTCGGTCATTGGATGGGTGACCAAAAATTTAGTATCTCGAGCTCCTCCGTGCTTCGGAGTACAACAGTCCATAAAAATGCTATTTGATGAAAGTCTTTAGAACAACGCCAAATTAAAAATCACACACAACAGTGCGCAAAATGTACTCAAAAGGGTTCATGATGCTTAAAAATAATAATCACACAGAAGTAGAAAAACAATAGTGACTTTGACCGACAAAAGTGACGTCATCGAAATTGTTTTGTGACGATGAACCGAATCGATTTTTTTGACGCAACGTATTCTTGAATTATTGACTTGGCTTGGCTCATCAAAAGGTCTGCCAAAACACTTTCCAAGTATTCTAGACGTGTTTCTGTTTTCGCATTTAACTATAGACTAGATACTTGAATAACAAACACTAAAATATATTGAAATTGAGTTTTGTTTAAATTTAAATATGACAAAGTCAGGCGACATCTGGGTTCGAAACCCGTTAGAGAATTTGTGTGATATGAACCCGAATATTTGTTTCCGGATCATGGAATAAGTAGAAACTCTGCTCGGTGTAATTAAAAAAAGTAGAACCAACAAACCTATGATAGATTTTTACTATCGTCACGATGAAGAGCAGTTTATTTAAAACTAAACTTCTTTAAGTGAATATGGTAGAAATCGGTTGTTTCTTTTTTGTGAATAACGGCAATGGCAACATGGGAACTGCCTTGCTACGTAATTAGGAGAGCGATTTTTTTAGTTACAATTCAGTCATTGTTATGTACTTAACCGTGGAATAGATTGAACCTAACGCAGATAGTTTCACTGACCTAATAACCGCCGAGTCCGCGCGAACAATGAGTGTTTGCCAGTGATGACATATGGAGCTGAGACATGGTCATTGATTATGGGCCTCATAAGAAGGCTCACAGAGAGCCAGGGAGAGAGCTACGCTCGGTGTTTCTCTACGTGTTTGAATCAGATATGAAATCCGTAGAAGAACTAGAATAACCGACATAGCTCAACGGATCACCAAGCTGTCAGATATCATCATTTAAATATCACCCATAATAAATATACTCTCATCAGAATCAGCGGTAGATTCTTATGTCACACGCGAATTAACTACTCATTAGCGCTTTGCCCGGCCTGCAAAATAATTCTTCAGGACTTATAGAAAATTGAAAGATCTCTGCAGAATTTATAATCAATATAAAGAAGTTAGAACCAATCCGGCCTATTGATCTATACTGAAAAGATCGAACCCCTTTGTACAACCTTTTAAATTAGTAAATATCCTCTTAAAGTTGAAGGAATAGGTGATGAGGGTAGACAAAAAGTCTGAGGACTAGTTAGTAACGACACAGCAACTTTTTCTTAGATGACCTCAAAAATTCTATCATTTCAACAGATGTTAATGGAGTTTCGTCTAGTTGCAAAGATAGCTAATGTGGTAGACATGGTCGATAGCTGAGAATACCATTTTGAAGAAGTAATACGATAGAGAAATGAGTCACGAATTCCTATGTTCGGGTAGTCGCAATGAGTCATTGACAAGACAACCCAGGCCAGGACGAGAGGTTTGAATAATACAAAAAAGGTTTAATTTAGGAGGGGATAAGACTCGTGTCACAGTAACAAAACACAAGAAATGGCACAGTAAATTTTCAGGATTAAAATACTCGCCAGAATAAGTGAATAGGTAGTCGCAATGAGTCATTGACAAGACAACCCAGGCCAGGACGACAAGTTTGGATAATACAAAAAAGCTTTAATTTAGGAGGGGATAAGACTCAGGTCACAGTTACAAAACACAAGAAGTGGCACAGTAAATTTTCAGGATTAAAACACTCGCCAGAATGAGTAGGTATATACACCCGACCTTATAGAAGAATGCAGACAAATAACATTATTCTGTAACACATATTATTGTATTACTCCAGCGAAGAAGATCATTTATACAAGGGGATGTTGCTGCGGCCTTAGATTAAAACAAAATGGGAAGATACGGCATTCATAGCTCAAAAATGATCCGCTTAAATTGTGGTTCATGACCACAATCCGCTTTAGTCACAATTGGACATTCCAGCACGCTGCATGTGCATTCTATATAACAATATTGCTTATATTCTGTTTTATAAAGATAAAACAATGCCTTTAATGCTTTTATAAAGAACACAAATAGTTCAAAATTAAAAACAAATGCCTCGGCCACATTTTTCATTCGTAAAACTGTAAAAACATTTTTTTATTCTCAAAAATCACGGTTTATCGTGAATGTTTTTAACGTAATCGCCATTTAGTTATAAAGAAAAGGACAACAATACAGCTCAGCCGTTCGGACTCTGATGCGGACTCGTCGTTTCGCTCGCGCTGCGTTGATAGTACAGTTCTGTCTCGCTCGCTCGATTGAATGTTTATTTACAGACGTGCGTGTGTGAGAGTTGCTTATGTAGTTGAGTCGGAGCATATTTTATTTGATGCTAGTATGAGCGTACCGTATCTTCCCTGTTTGTTTCAATCTAAGGCTGCGACAGGTTTTTTAAATTCTTCATATTTTTATCTTTAATGTACAGTTTTAAATTCAAGTACAATGGGCTCATATTCTAAACCTTATCTGCCTACAAAGCACTAAATTGATTTCATTCTGATGTCCTGATTAATATTAACTCTTCCAAAACAGTGATGGTATCAAATAATACAATATTAAAGGATTGCGTGTATGCATGTTATATTCGGTGCCCGTCGGGGATATCACACAAGTCAAAAGTTTATTTTTATAACACGCCACGCGGCACAGACGGACGGAAACCCAAAACGACCGAAAAGAATATGTTATTCTTCTACTCACTGCACCCCGCGATGGTCAACATTATATTTGGGCCATTTTGATCCAATCTCCACATAAAAGGAGGACCGACGATTTACATTATATTCATAACGACGCAGTTTAGAAGCTTAAATCGCGCTAACAAAAGTCCTGATAATGTTTGCTTGCTGAGCATAACCGCAGACAAAAAAATTTGCGCAGCGCTGGGTTACCTAAAAGGCGAAGAGTTGGCGCTTACTTGCATCCTAAGAAACACTAGAGAAAATTACACACGGCCATCAAGGCCGCGGTAGCACAATGGTCTGTGCATTCGGCCGGATAGCGAAAGGTGCGAGTTCAAGTCCCGTCTGCTGCCTGGTCCGCGTGGATTTTAAGAAACTAGTAAACTGTTCTTAAGATTCAAACATCTAGCAGTTAAATGCTTAAAAAATGTAACTATAATTGCGTATTCTTCTTTCAAATGTTTAATACTTGTACAAGTGTTCATTTGACATTGTGTGTTACTTACAATGTTAAGAGATGGCGCTGCCTTGCAGTCTAAGAAATACTAGAGAAAAATTGACACGGCCATCATGGTCGCGGTGGCATAATGGTATGAGCATTCGCCCGGATAGCGAAGGGTACGGGTTGGAGTCCCGTCTGCTGCCTGGTCCGCATGAAATTTTTTCTAGTAAAATTTTCTTTAGAATTCAATTATTTTTTTATACTACAGTGGTGTCGATTCTGGCACGATTCTCTAAACTTTAAATTTCATTTTTAAACATAAGTTTCTCCTTTTCATTCTGTATAGAGAATGACAAGGATACTGTTGATAATTAAAATAATAAAATAATCTTTTACTTTTCAATTAATCATATATTTTCTTTTTCCATCAACTATCAACGTCATAACAACAAACCATAAATAAAGAAATATAAGTATCAAAAGGAGTTCTTAACATTCTCCCGCCACAACATAAAATAATCAGCTTCGTCCTCATTAATCATACAAAATAATAAAAATACCAAAACCTAAGACTAAAGTTATATAATCAACCGCTTTAATCAAATTATATTCAAAATAACAAAACCTATCACTAGTAAGAATATTAATCAAAATAACCTATTACTAGTGTGAATAATAATCAAAATAACCTATTACTAATCCTCTATAAGTAACGGTATTAATCTAGTTAAGGGTCTTTTTAGGATGCCACCGACCGTATGTATGTCTGCTACACGTGACACACCATCCCGACCAGGATAGTTTTAAAATTACTCCCTTTGGCCAGACATTACGAGGTAGTGTGGGGTCCACCAATATAACTAATGTCCCCTCCTTCAGGTCGATATTCCTACCTTGAGCAGTCCTTGGTAACAGCGTCGGAAGGTACTCACGAATCCATCTTTTCCAAAACATATCCGCAAGTCTCTGCGCAACACGCCAGCCTTTCCTCGTTACGTCTTCACAAGGTCCAAGCCATTCTTCACATCATCACACACATCTGAGGATTCCCCGAGTAAAAAATGATTGGGTGTCAGGGCTTCTGGGTCTTCGGGTGATACCGAAACATGTGTCAAAGGACGGGAATTGACTGTGTGTTCTATCTCGGCCATAAACGTGAGTAGTACTTCTTCTCTAGGTGCTTG